CTCGAATCAATTTTTGTTTGGCGCATTTTTTTTCTCTCTAATTAATAGCAATAAAGTTATTAAAGTGATTTAATTAATCACTCGGTATGTACACTTGTACGTAAAATCGTTTTGATAGATCTCGCTAAAGTTTCTCTACGATTTTCCTCAATTATTTAAATTTGTGGTAGCAAGTAAAAATAGAAGAATAAGAATAAGAATAAGAATAAGAATAAGAATAAGAATAAGAATAAAAATTAAAATAAGAATAAAAAGAATAAAAAGAAGAAGAAGAAGTAAAGAAATGAATGTGGAGAGGAATCGAGTCTCTCTCTCGAGTCCGCGATTCTTGTTCGCAGACTTGCGATTTACAGTAAGGAAATGGAACATGGAAAAGTTTTCTTGAAAAGATGAAGAAGAAGAAGAAGAAGAAGAAGAAGAAAAAGAAAAAAAATAAAATGAAGAAGAAAAAGTATAACGAGCCGCTGAGAGAAGGCTGGCTCGGCTTTCCAAATGTTCTCGATATTTTTTCATGATAAATTTAATGACATTTATGTTCTCAAACCATGACTTCTAACGATTTCATTCGGTCCCGTTTCCTTTCTTTACCTTTTGTTTCGTTCTATTCCTTCCTTCCTTCCTTCCTTCCTTCCTTCTTTTCTTTCTTTCTTTATTTCTTCTTTTCTTTTGCAAATTTTCTTATCTTTGGAGAAACAGGGAACGTGGTGGAAAATCGTGTCCCTTTAATAACGTGGGAAAACTTTAGCGAGGATTTTGCCAACGAATGAGGAAAGAGAGAGATAGAATGAAGATTATAATCTCTCTTGGGTGGGGACGCAAAAAAATGGTGGATCAAGGAAAAAAAAAAAGAAAGAGGAAAGATCTTTTTCGAAAGGAAAACTTTTTTAAACGGAACACAAAAGACATCTTCTCGATAAGAAAGAATGAAAGTGAGATAGAAAAGTAAATGTTTCTACTTGGAAAATTATTGTCCACGTTGAAATTGTTCTTCGATATTATAAGCTGCTGGATAATATTATCCACAAGCTCGCATAAATCTTGGTAAACCAAATGATCTGGTACGGCAAAATTGCAAGAGGATCAATTTCAGGGTGGAAATTGATTATCGAAAGGCGGTTGAATTCACTTTATGGGAGAGAGAGAGAGAGAGAGAGATCTGATATGAATTCCTTTTTTATTGTTATTTAGGTATCAATTTTTATTAGATACATAAATTATATGTTACGGTTAATATGGAGAAACGTGGATCTTATAGAATATCCAAATAAATGAAAATAAGTTTTGGGTATTATACTTACATATATTGAATAAATCAATAAGTATTTGTAAGAATTTTTAATAAAAGCTGCGATACAATTTTTCTATGTTATATTTAAAATCAATTACTTTCTTTTTAAGATTTTTTAAAATTTACTTTCTTTTTCTAACCTCAGATTGTAAGAAAGATCTTACTTACAATTAAACCTGTAATTTAATGTTCTATATAAAAAAAAATTCGTTTAAAAAGTCTTGTAAAAAAAGTCACCGATTTGTAATATAATTTAAAAGCTTTTGCTTGACGTAGAAACTTTTGATCCATCATTCATTAAAAATTTCGATACAAGTTATTAGCCAACCTAATTAATTTAAATATAAATATATTTATCAATTATTTCTTATTTTTTATTGTTGAAGCTTTCAATTATTTACTTGTATGTATGTAATTAATATTAGAAAATAAATATGTTTAATATAAAATCGAATAATGAATGAATAAATGAAGAGAGTACGAAATGAACAATGTATCGAATAAAATGAGCCCCTAGAGTGAAAATTACGAGTATCGTTCGCATGTATTCCATACGGTAATATTAACTTTAATTACATATTCATTGTTTAAACAATTAACATTTTTGGTAAATAGTTTCTAATGATATGAGTAAGTAAAGTACTTTGAAAGTAAATTATTGAGACAAATTTTCCTACTAATTTGCAATTTAATTAAATAGTTTGTAAGGGTACGTTTGTTGTTTTAAAATAAATGGTAAAGTAAGTGGTTGACTGAATGCATGGTCAATAATTATACCACTTGTTTTACGTTTAGAAGTAGATGTGTCTAAATGTGTATTTGTTTGTGTGAAGGAATTTTAAAGCGCCCTGTGTTTGGTGTGAATAAGTAAAATAAGGAAAGAATTCTCAATATTGTAGATTAGTGTATGCAAAATTTGATTTAAAAAACGAAATAAAAATATCCACAATATTTTACTCTGTTACGAGTTTTTTTTTACATTTGTAATTTAATTAATAAATTTTGTTGTTGTTTCTCGTACTTTTTGCTTACAATTTTAACAGAGGTAAAAATTAAAAAGTATTTGTAAAAATAATATAAACCACTATTTTACAAAAAAAATAAGAGGAATATTTTTAAATCTTTTATAATTTAAAAATCCCCAATTTAAAATGTAACATCTGATTTTATATGTCACCTAAAAATATTATAAATTTATTATAATTATTTTAATGAAGTTTTACAGTTTTATCAATAAAGTGGTTATTGAGCTTTTATCTAAAAAAAAAAAAAAACAAAAAAAAATATCATATAACCAAGAATGATCGTGCCGTGTTAGTTGAAATAAATGAATAAATGATAAAAAAAAATGGCACAAACCGTTTTTGTTACCTCAAATTCGAATTGTATAAAAAATAAAAAAATAAATGCTCGGATTGTTTTTCTTTTGGTTTTCGTTTGAATCAAACGAAGTTTTAAAAAAAAAGTTTATCGAAACATTTGACAACGTTATGCTATCAAGAAGAAAAAGAAACATTTAGATGTTTGAGTAGATCTCGAGGATTCACAAGCCCCGAGTTTGACCTGGTTTCCTTCCGGTCGGTGTTTCCTCTTGGTGGTTCTCCACGTTTTATCGTTCTTTCTCTCGCACCTTTTTCTTTCCGGTTACTGCATACTTTATTTTCACCGAGAGATAGTACAAAAAGAAAGAGAGAAAGAGAGAGAGAGAGAGAGAGAGAGAGAGATTTATATATATAAAAAATCGAAAAAGAGAGAAGAAGAAACGGCATTATATACGTTTATCCAGTCCGGAAGTGGCGGCTGCTCGTCGTCCGGTAGAAACGTTAGCTTTGCTCCAAATTCTCCGACAATTTTTCAATTTATAGTTTTCCTCTCGGTCGCTAAAGTTTTCAACGGACAACTACGACTACGACTACGAGGTGGGGAACAGAAAGAGAGAAGTAAACTTTAAAGAGAAACGAGGAGAAGAAAGTTCGATTTCGAAGGGAGTTTACTTCTTTAAGTATGATTGTAAACAGTTTCCGAACACGTCAAACTGTTCTCTACAAATTACTTCAAAATGTCACTTGATAGTTAACGCTTATTACGTAACTATTAAATGCGACAATAATCTATTAAGTCTAATTTACTAGGAACTCTATTAAAAATACATAAAAATAATAATTATAATCAATGAATGTATGTATAATATGAGATTTTGATTTGTTAGAAAAATCGAAAGAAATTTGAGAAAAGGATTTGAAGAGACTTCCTCTTTTCGAACTAGTCCAAAAGCAAATCCCTGGGGAACGCGTTACGAGGATTTATGTTTAAGAGTTTTCGCAGGGCCAAGCAAGTATCTGCTTTTCTGCCCATATCGTTATAGTACACTGCTACTACTGTATCGTGTAGGATAGGATACACGCGTATTCCTCTTGTGTTTGTAGAGGTTTATCTGGAACCGTCTCTAGGAATTCCAGTTGGAATTGCCGAGCTCGCGCTGTGGCTGCTGTCGGATATTTATGCTAAATAGGGATTTTGAAATACGATATTGCTCCCATGCGCGGTTTCCCTGCGAATGTAGAAATATCCTAAGAGGAAGAAGGGCAGAAGGAAGGAGACCAGAGAAAAAGAGGAGAGGGAGATGAAGGGCGCTTAGGATCTTTCAAAGTGAATACCGTAGAATACTGAAAGGGGGAAAAAGGGTCGAAGTAATTTCCTTTTAATTTTGAAACGAGTACGATATATTCCTCTTTATTTTGATACTTTTCTCCTCCTTCATCCCATTCTTTCAAATAAATATACGTCAGTTAAACATGTTGACCGTCACGTAAATCACCAGTGACCAGTTTTTGTTCTTTCCATGAGATCATGAGCCTAACTTGGCTTGCGAGCCTTTTTTTGGCATACGAGGCCAAATTGGACAAGGCATTTATTTCAGTCAACTTTCTATCTTTTTGTTAAGCTATGAAGTCATTTTGACTGGTAGGGTGCATATACACACTTACAGGGATGTATTAAAATATAAATTTGGAACGAAATGAAACTGCTCTCAGCTTGACCCGTAAAGTCGCTTCAATAAATATGCTTAAATCCCAAACGTGTTTCTCTTGGGTGCTCCTACTTACGTAAACTAATGCGCGTTTCGTGCTAACTTCTCTTATCGCTCGCAGTTCTGGAATCGTTAATATAACGTGATCACGTTATTTCTCACAGTTTTGACCTAATATCGAACACGCCCGGCAAATGACGTATTCGATTTGACGAATAAACGATCGAATAGCTTTCTGGAATATACGTTTACCCATTCTCTCCATATACATATACATATTCACCAATATGTATTGAGAGAGACAGAGAGAGAGAGAGAGAGAGAGAGAGAGAGGAGAGGAGGGAGAGTAACTTTTTGATCTCGAAATGAAGCAAATGGTACGTCGGGTCCAGACATAAAATAGTTGATTAGTTTCGGAACAGGGTGCACTCAGTTTATATTATTTGTACATGTATATTGTATGTACGTGTATTTTATGTGTGTTTCGTTTTGTTATTGTTAGTATTACTATAGATTGTCGGGAGAATAAAATTACTCTCTCTCTCTCTCTCTCTCTCCCATTCTCTTATTATATCTTCCTCTCAAATTGATTCGGCCTACAATTTGTTGCAATTTGTTACAAATAGACAATTTTAATCGCGATTACAGTAATAAATAAAATATTTTACATATTAAACTTACCTTGTATAGCAGATTCGTCGTCGACTTGAAATTGTAACAAGTTTGCTCTTCTCGAGAACCTCAAAACGTGCCACATGTCGTCGTTCAGGCCCTGTCCGATCGTTAAGCTCTGAAAGCATAATGAAAACATAGATAAAAAAATTTGTTTTTTTAAGTAATTTTTTTCTATGAATTTTATATTCATTTTTGACAAAAACATACGACAAGGTAAAATACAAATTTTTATCTGTAAAAATATTTTATATCACATTAAAATATATCGCATAAAAGTTTCACGTTTATTGAATAGAATTATATAATATATATACATATATATTTTTCTTATAACACTTGTTACTTGATCACGTAAGAATGTATATAAGAAAGAAATATAGGGTAGGAAAAGGAAGTGGGGTGATTAATCGGTCGTTAAAGAATAAAAGGACGTCATTAAATACTTTTCAAGTCTTTTTATCGGTTTGCCACTTTACACGTTCGCACGATTCTCCGATTATAGGTATTATTCGTTCGAAATATTCGTTGCCTCGTAGTCACTCGCTTACATTATTTGTGGCGGATTAAAGGGAGGTCGCAACGTTATCGCGTGCTCAACGCCGAGCGTTTAATTTCCGTTCTCTGATTTTTACCGATATTCGTCGTTTACATGTGCCCACTGAAGTCTATTCCTTGTATGTATATACATATGGGAATGTTTATGTATGTGTGAAGGTATATATATACATCTCAAAGTGTGTTGAATTGGCACCGGTGATACACGCTCTGCTTAAATGCCGAGGAAATATCTGTTGAGAAATTTGACGAACAAAATTTTTCATCTGGAAATATTTCGATCAAATCATAATGAAGAAAAAGAAGAAAATAATAATAATAATAATAATAATAATAATAATAATAATAATAATAATAATAATAATAATTAATAATTAATAATATTATTATTGATCATCCTTCGATCAGATTTTTACTGATGAAAATTTTCGAATAGATTGTTCGTTTGTTTAAACAAATTTTTTTTGACATTAAAAATCAAAAAACCAAAGTTTATAAAAAAGAATGGAGATGATAAGCTAAGGAATATTTTTAATCGGATAATTTTATGGATGTAGTTGATATTTGATATAGAAAAGAAATAGGTAGGTCTATAAGTACCATAAAGGTAATAATAATAAAAGAAATTATAAGATTAGCTTTTGTTTTCTTGCTTACAAATATTTTGTTTGTTCATAATATTTGTGTAACATATGTAGGTATAATTAAAAGTAGAAAGACAAATATAAAGTGTTACTGGATCATGGGTACAGCGAGAAAAGCATCTTCGTAAATAATAAAGTAACTCATTTATAAGGAATGCAATTAAATTTTTTCTCACGAGTTAATACGTAATTCGTTTAGCCTAATTAACGAGTTTATGGTATTACGAGACTCTGTTTTTTGCCTCGTTAATAAAAGAAACTAGTTGGGGAAGAGGAATTTCATTAATTGATGGATACGATTACAGTTGGGGAAGAAAATTGAATTTAAAACTTGTTGTCTATTCTCTCCTTTATTTTTCTCTCTCTTTCTCTCTTTTTTTTTCGTTATATTTTTATAATCCTTTCTTTTTATCAACTCTTTAAATAATTGAGATGAGATTCGATTAAAAATGGACATCGTTTAAAGATTATTTAGGGAAGGATGTTACAGTGTAGGAACAATCTCTGTTTGGCCAATAAAACGTCCATCTTATTGTTGCAGGATGCTCGATAACGTTGACGTAGAGCTGACGTTAGGTGACAAACGTGCGTCAGCCGGTGGATGATACACGAGCAACGTGTACCCCCATAGTATGACATTAGCAGGACACCCGTTGCAAGAACAAACAGATAGTGACGAGTTGTCCAAATTTATGAGGGTTTAACCAAATGAGACTCTCCTTCTCTATCTCTCTCTTTCTCTCTTTCTCTCTGTCTTTTGAAGGCTCTGTCGATGGCTACTGTTTGCTATTCTCAACCGAATCGATCATCATATTGATGTTGATGTTGTTGTTGCTGTTTTTGATTGATACGTAACGCAAATGCAGATAAAATTTATTTTCATTATAAATAAATATCAATCTAACAAAGTTATCTGATTTTATTCGTACAGATCGATCAAGTTTTAATTACTTTAAATACCTGTCCCCGAAGGTGTTCGCACACCCACGTGTGTTAACGACCTTGTTAATTGTTCGTATAAAAATATATTTTCAATTTTTCCTTGTTCTTTTTTCTCTTTTTACAAGTGTGTGTGTATCCGTAATTAATTATCTTTACAGATACTTAAACAAAGCAGTAAAATTAATTGTCATTGAAAGTCGAACAATTCCCATAAGTAATTTCGATCACGTTTGTTTCTGTCGCACATTTATTTCTATTACAAATTTATAGAGTGAAGAGCATTTGTGTATGTCTCTTTTATATATAATATATACATATATACATATATTCACGTATAGATATTCCCGTATTCGGTTGGCAGTTCGATTTAGTTAAATTTTTGTTTAGCATCACCAGTACCTCAGGTATTACTACGGTAGTAGATAATGGTAATATCTATATATTATTCTCTCTCATCTCGGATTCTCTTTAACGTTCCACGAATTACATCCTGAATAAATCGAATTTGGTGGAAGCGAGAAAGGAAAATAAAATCGCCGGTTAGAGCTGCCAGCTTTTCTAGACTTCATTCGAACGTGTCGATTTTCAACGTGGAAGAAGAGCTTACCACCTCTTTGGATAGCTAACGTGTCGCACAAAAAAGTGTTTGCCACCGTCGACACCCTCAACCCCAACCCCAACCTCAACCCCAACCCCAACTCCAACTCCAACTCCAACTCCAACTTCAACCCTAACTCTCACCTCGAACCATCACAACCATCAAGAGTAGAAGAAACGTATGCGCTCTTTTTCAAGCTGAGAGTGAAATTACATGGAAAGTCTATCGCGCGAACGGATATTACGATTCCTCTTTTCTGAATATCATTGTCGTTTCTCTCCTAGGAATAGGAAATCGCACCCTCGTTTATTTCGCATTTCTAACATCGTTTCGTCATCTGCATACATAGTACATACCTATATATTTATATGTTTGTATGTATGTATGTATCTAAATTTTGAATGTTCGTAAATATAGTATTACAGATTTGTTAATTAATTTCGATTATTAAAATCGATTATTTTTTTTTTTTTTTATAGGAAACTATGTTAAAAAAATCAAACAATTAGAGATTTTTCAAAATATTTGTTTTATCCCAAGCTATTTTTTCTGATCTTTTAAATAACGAAATAAGAAACAAAGAGAATATTTCATGTTCTCGTTCGAATTAAAATTCGTAGGGGAAAGAAGGAGGTTACCAGAATTGTGCAATATTCGAAAATTAGTATCGTCGATTCTAGTATACTTTTTAAAACTCAACAATAAACTAATACGTACAAACGTACAAACGAATACACGTAGTAGCATGTTGTAAAACAAGTACCATCGAGTATTCACATTTTTTTCGTGTGTGTTCCATCCCTCTTTCACCTTTCCAAGCTTTTATTCGCGATAGTGATCGAAGCTTGCATGGAGACTCGCTTTGTTTTATTTCCTTTTTCTTTTTTGTTTTATACATATGCACATATGCACATAACGTAGGAGGGTTCCTACGCTAACATAAGTGTCTACCATTTATATGGGAAAAATATTTTTCATGCCCGAATTTATCCATTGTACATATATTCACGTATACATATTATTAATCAAAAGTTCAAAATTTTTTTGCAGATATTCGTAAAAATAATAATTTATTATTATTATATCAAACATTAAAAAGTTCAATGTGGTTAAAGAAATGTTAGCATCTTTTCACGTTTACAGTGCTTATGCATAGTTACTAAATCCAGTTTAAGATAACGATCAGAATTAACTTTCTTCTTGGAACATCTTTGCAAACTTCTACAAGAATTATGAACAAATATTAACCCATTTGCATCACGACTAGAATTAGTCTTCCTTGCTCAAACATTCGAGACATTAAACTTACGACTGACCCGGTATCACCGGTCAAATGCTTACAGATAGAAAAACCTATCTCCATTTATTATCTATAATCTATCGACTATTTATGATAATATTTGACACTCGTCAAATATTGGTTCTGATTTTATAAGAATCAAAAATGTAAATGAAATAATCAATGTTCCTATCTTATTTTCTAGCATCCTCTAGCGGTATATGAAGTATTTAAGTGGAAACAATGGAAAACTAATTGCCAAAATGGTCAAATTATTTTGAGCTGTCATTACAAAAGAACTGTGTCAAAAAAAAAAAAAATGATACAAAATGATGTAAAATGTACTACTCAAATGTATAGACATGTTTTTGTATTTGTGTATGCAGTTAGAGATTTTAACAACGTTTATAGGTAAAATTCAACTTTTCAGCGAATAATGACGTTTGAATTTCGGATTATCTTAATCATGAGTATCTGTTCAAATCATAGATAGAGAGAAAGAGAGAGAGAGAGAGAGAGAGAGAGAGAGTTTCTGATTTTCAGGTTTGCGAACGATTAGCAACTCGGATATTCGCCATAGGCAAATTGTAGAAGGCAGCGCATTAACGGATCAATTATTTCATACGATTATCAAGGGCCCATTAGGCATACTGCATAAGATCGAAATGTTATCGTGAATTACGTAGACGTTTGGTCATCATTTAATACTTTCTCAAGTTCTATGTTCCCATTCATAATAACTTAGAACTTTTCCCTATCTATATATGTATGTGTATATGTGTGTACGTGCATACGACTATATAGTTAAATGGTTTTCGAGTAAATACTTCAATAGATTCATGTTTGATCTTCTCTTGCACGTCGTCTTTTGATGTTCGACATCGGGAAAATTTTCAACTTTAATCAATGGTATTACATACTTACTTACTTACTTCACGTGTTATTGATAATCCACATTCTAATTTTGAAATGTCAATAAACGGAATATAATATAATGACGATTATCTTATTTTTGTTTTTATTAGTAAATGAAATTATTAGTTTTATAATTAAATATTGCTATATATGATAATAGTAAAAAAAAAAAAGAGAAATAATACATCAAACAGAAATGAAAAAAATTTCGGGAGAATATTTGAATTAGTTATCAACCATTAATCCGTTGATGTAAATGCCGTTTTTTAGCCGTCCTATGTGTTCTTAGTATTCTAAAAAAAAAAAAAAATAAAAAAAATAAAAACAAGTTTTTTTTCGTCCATCACAGATTTTAAAGTGAGCGTCAACGGGTTAACGAGTGAATTACGCATCCCTATCAGTCGTTTCCATCGTGAAAAAAAAAAAAAAAAAAAAAAGGCAAAGCCCACGCACAAAGTACCGTTGATTCATTTTTCATTCGCTTTAATCTTTCACATAACTTCTTTTTTATCTCTTTCTTTCTTTCTTTCTTTTTCATATTTCAAAAGAATATTATAGTATACATTCACATACACAAACGTATACGCACACACAAACATATACGCGAAAAGCAAAAGTAAAAAGAAAAATAATATATTAACCGCAGGATTTAAATAATTACTTGGAGGATACAAAAAGAAAAATTAAAAAAAGGATTTTTAGCTTTTAAGTGCAAACCTCGAATACAAATAGCATTAGCTAGGATTCGCAGAATGGGCTATAGGGAGATGGGGGAAGAGGGGTGTTGAAAAGGGTAGAACCCATGTGTTTTGCATCAAACAACGCCATCTGTTTCTGATCCGTTATTTGCAGCAGGGCTCAAGCTCGCGGTTGTTGTCGTAGCGAAAGCACCGAGTCAAACGAGTGTTCTTGTACGTTCTACCTTGTAAGTACAAACATACATATATACATTCAAATATACTGGGTGAGTCATTGAAAACAGCTTAACCAAATAATTCGATTGCTATTAGTGATTTAAATAACAATTTATTGAACTAAATTCATACTTGGTTTCGAGATTAGCAAAAGTGTATTTAGCTGATGTACATGGTGAACAACGCTAGAGTTTTTATATTAATTTTTGTTTAGATTAAAAATAAAAATAAACAACAATAAAACGTAACGTGTAATATAACAAACACGTTCACACTTACGTAACATGGGATTAAGTGAGTTTCAAATTTCATTATGTTTTATTTGACATTTTTCTTTATCGCTCACATAGCAATTAAGTTATTCGGGTGGTTTGTTATAAATGACTCACTCGGTATGTACGTAGGGTAAAGATAGGTTCGAGTAAATATCAGGTGTAACTAATCTACAATGGCGTGCGAGTGGCTTTGCGAAGTCACCAGATGAAACTTCCAGTGGTAACTTTGAGTCTCCACCATAGACGACTATGGGGTTAAAGGAATATTAATGCTTCTGACAAGATTGATATAAAACGTATAGAAGAAGAAAGCATGAATTTCGTTTATGAAACTAAAAAAATTACCATTTTTTTTTTAACAACAATAATAATAATAACATGATAACAAATGAAATGAAATGAAATAAGATATTTATTCCTTCGAAATTGAGGATATTAAAAATTTGACGAAAATATCGAATGATTTAATAAAATATTAAAAAAAAAACTTATCTGAGAATGTTGAAAAAGTAGTACGAATTTTATACTACTATGGATATTCTACTTTTAGAAATATTTCCTCCCGATTTCATTGTGAATTCTGTGATTTTCAAGTAATTAATAGTAAGAGAGAAAGAGAGAATATTTGGTCTGTAGAGATGCATTAGCGCGCATCTCGACCACTTAATTACTCGTTGAAAATTTCATCCTAACATTAAGTCTTTTGCTATATTTGCCAAGATCGATAACGAACGTTCCTTTATTACAAACTTTAATACGTTCTTTCATCCTGTTTTTTTATTTTTATTTTAAGACACAGGTTATTTTGTCAAGGTTATACGAAATTAATTTTATTACAACATTCGATAAATTTATTATTACATGAAATATTTTATATTTTATAGTATGATCCAAGTTTCAAATCTTTGTATTTAAGAAATTTAATAATAATTTAGAAAAGAACAAAAAAGGATAGAGAGAGAGAGAGAGAAGAACCGAGTAGTTGTGTGATGAGCGGTTGTCAACGAGAATGAAAATGTAATCCTATTTACATAAGCACGTTGTCGTTAATCTTTGTCCGTTCGACGTTACTGCCAGAAAGAATATCGCTTTTGGTGAAGAAGATTCGAGCTAGAGAAGGACCACTAAGATCCATTTACTGACTAGAACTTTGCTCCTTTGATGTATTAAGTTAACGTCCGAGCGCTGTGGCGACCTACTCTTCTTCTTCTTCTTCTTCTTCTTTAGAAATAGATAGAAAGAGAGAGTGCAAAAGGAAGAAGAAGCAAAGGAGAAAGAGCATGGTGCACTTTTCTAACAACGCTAAGAGTGCTTTCAACTCTTCGAGCTTGCTTGGGACCATCCAAGAGCTAGCAACGAAGATCTTCCTAAATTATGAAGAGAGACGTAGACCGGAATGCTCTCGTGAAATCGAGTTAATGCTTGTTCGAACGTTACCACCACTTCTTTTCTCTCTATTCTCTCTCTCTCTCTCTCTCTCTCTCTCTCTCCCTTATTCCTCTTTTTCTTTTATTTATTTTCCTAATACTTTTTTTTCCTCCTTCTCTCTATCTCTCTCACATTTTTCTTTTATATAACAATTAAATTTTATCAAGTCATTTTAATTTTCCATTTCAATTTGAACTGCTTTTAATATTAAACACACATGAATTTGTACATACGAATAGATTATTTTCTATTTATCTGTATAGAATGTGTATATATTGTATGAACATTTATCACATGTAGAAACAATGGATTATTATGTTATTACATTAAAGAAGAATTTTGTATTATTATTTATCGTTCAATTAACTTTCTTTTTACAATAAATAATAAATTGATAATATTGTTTATTCGTGTATTTATATACAATTGAAATATGATGTTATGGAATTAATTCATGCCTGACTATATATGGACCTGTAGTACTTAAAAATGATTGACTCGTACTACTGAACACTGTACTATTTTAGACGAACACTTTCTTCGGTCAGATATTTTTCTTTATTATCAATAAATAATAATTCGTTTAAAATTTATTATAAAAAGAAAATTTGTTAACCTACGCTTCTATCATTTTATTACGAATTTATATTATGAATAAAGTAAATTAATTTAGGGTTATTAAATTGCAGCATATTCGTACGCCCATTTCGAATTGTCTTTATCAGACGTACACACTTGTTTTGGTTTCGTTAATAAGACATTCAATTATTCTTATCTCATTCATTTGCAACAACAAACAGATCCATACACATCCAAAATCTTTATTTATAATACTTAAGTAAGTCCCAAAAATATTGTCTAATTGTAAGAAGACTTTCGTAAACTCACCTTTTCCTTGTCACCTATATGAATGAGCATCTTTGCTTTGCCTTCCTCAAGATAAATTTGTAATCGATCGCTGCTGTTTTCCAAGCTCGTTGCTATTAGGAGACCACGTGGCCTGGTTGTTTTGAAACGCACGATAACTTCTTCTGCTTGCGTTCTCGAATCATCTGGCATCAGTGCGGTCATCTGTTGTGTTCCGTTTAAATGCAACGTCGATGCGTCTAGCAAAAATATCAAAAATAATAATACAAATAATAAGAAAAGGCAATGAATAAAATAAACCATCAAATGAAAAGAAACATCGGAGATAAAATTAATGAGAATTTTTTTTATCCGAAAGAGCACACCTGTTTGAAACAAAAGGATTCGTTATTTTAGAAATTACCATTCTCTCGTTAAACGGTAATAATATTAAATCATTTTTTTCTCTTTTATTTTATGCATGCGTATGTGTGTGTGTTTGTGTAAAACCAATTTGTTACCAAACTAAAAGATTCGAGCTACAAATTTTACAAATGAAAAATTCCACTAACGAAGGAATATAAAAAGGAACTCACCCTTTCCACAAGTGGGACCGGTAAACGGCGTTCCGGTGCAATCGCAATGGAATCTGTTCCAACCCTCGAGACAATATCCACCGTGCATACAGGGTTGCGAAGAACAGTGAAGGGATGGTTGAGCGTGACAAGCTGGCCTCACGGCACCTAACAAATCGTCGTCAAATTACTCGTTAAACGATCTATACTAATGCAACTTCACAAAGGAAAAGAGAAAGAGAAAGAGAGGGGTGGGTGGTTAGTAGCTATCCAAGTCAAAAAATACCTCCTATCTCCTTGTTGAATGTAATTGTGACGAGTATCACTTGTACAAAATGATCGTTTAAAAGATAAAAAGCGAGGAATGTCTTGTTTTACTTTCAAAAAAATATGAAAAAGAAAAGAAAGTAGTTAAAGTAGAATGCTAGACAGGAAAGTTAAGTGAGTAACGAACAATTGCAAGCTGCGGTGTCCGAGTGGTTAAGGAGTCAGACTCGAAATCTGATGGGCTATGCCCGCACAGGTTCGAATCCTGTCCGCAGCGGAGCTTTTTTTCATCATTTTTTTCTTAAAAAACATAAACTTTTAACATTCCAGACGAGAAGAACATTTGCAAAGTTATTTGGTCAACATTTTTTAATCTTAAATAATTACTTAATGCGACAATACAATTTGTTGGATGCTATGCTGCAACCTGATATATTATATTTTACCAAAATTATTTTTTATATTCTATTACAAAGAGTACAGAATAAAACAAAAGAATATGTGCAAAAGTTGTTTAATTAATAATTTTTTTTGTGAGAGTCTACGTTATTCGTTTATGGTATATGTTAAATTTTTTCAGCTTTGAACATGTTCCAAAGATCAAATTTATTTTAATAGTGAGCGTTTATAATTGTTTGTACAAATTTGTAAATAACAAACGTTATCATACTTAACAAATTTTTAGAATTTTAAATGCAATTTCTATTGTTGTCTTTGTACTCTTCATATGCTTATAATTATTTTTTTTTTTTTTTAAATGAACCATACAATTAGTTCAGTAAGGTGTTAAAAGATAACACTGAGAACGATTGGCCAACTGTACAAACATGATCGAATGAAAACTTCGGAACTGAATATTTTGATTAATCATTATACCATACAAAAAATGTATGTATATTTGAACGTAATTTTACATTAGGAAGGAAAATAATTTAAGTACTCACCTGAATCTTGTTGCTGCGCGTATCCAGCGATATCAACAGGATGGCCATTTATAACGAGATCCCTCATGCAACCAACGTAGCCCTGTCGCAAAGTACCAGTCCATAAAACAGGTGGAACGGTCAATGGTGCGAAGGGTGCACCAACTCCACCGATGTAAAGTAATCCGTCCAAATCAAGTTGGGTGGTATCACCTGAGCGAAAGAATTGTAAACTTGAGAATCGATCGATTGTAAACTAATTCATAGTAATGTTCAATCGATGGACTCGCTGTGAGCAACACAAAGAAAAAGAAATAAATAGAACTAAATCATCAGATTGCACGTAGGAATAGAGAATATTTTCGAACTAACTTTTTCCAACAAATTATTGCTTGTTTAATTTTGAAAGCATCCTCGGACTAGGACGATCGACGACGTTTTCCATTTGGAGTTAAAAGGCATTTGTGTTAATGCAAGTTGAGAGAATTTTCGGTAGACGAGCTTGTAGCTCGTTTATTTCAAAACTAGGAGACAAATCAAGTAGGCAAGCTCGTGCAGCCGTTTGCTCATCAAATTAAACGAAAAATTCGAGAGGTAAAGTCGATTCACTTAAAGTCCTCTCCTTTTTCTCTTTTACTACGAGAAATACAAGTTTCGAATAAACAACTTGTTTGAAATTTGTTTTATTTTATTTTTACTTTATTCTTATTTTCTTCTTTTTTCTTTTTTTGTCAAAGTAAACGAAAGAGGAAAAGGAAATAGAAAAATAAAAGAACGCGGTCAGGTTTCAGCAAACATCACGCTTGACGTGCAAAACGTAATTAAAAATCTAGCAAAACGATTCTTTTTTAATCCAAGTAGAATTTAAACTACACTCGGTGGTGGTTTACGATATCGAAGAAAGAATAAATAGTAGAATAATAAATGTTTTTTTGTTTGAATTGGGGTGAGGAGAAAAGGGTAGTTTAACGTCGAGATGAAAAGTCATCGATCGATGCTAGCTCAGTCGGCCGATTCGTGCCAAGCAGAAGGTAGGTGCTGTTTTACTTGGAAGACTCATCGACTTTCTCAAGTTGGTTTGAATCGTGCTTACGTGTTATGTATGTATGTACTAGGTATTATTCGTAGAAACGCGAGCTTGACGAATGAAAGACATAACCGGAAGTCTTGGAAAGTCACGAAAGTTCCTTTATACGAGGTTATATATCTAAGGAGGAGAAGGTTACATACGATGAGACTCAACGTTTACACTGAAAGTCCGACTTTCAACGATGCCGATGGAATAGAAAGGAGTAGGAGAGACATCTTGGCGATCCTGAAGGAGGACTTCAAGGAATATGGAGTAAGATGTGAAGTGGTAGGTCGAGAGACTGGTATAAGTAGAAGTATGAGGAGGAGAAAGAGGAGGAGGAAGAGAAGGAGGAAGAGATGGAGAGTGCTGAACAACCCGATATTCCTTCTTGCTAAAGTTCGAGCGGTAGGTATTATTCGAGGCGTAGAGTAGTGCTGAGCTACGATGAAGGACCTCCTACCGGCGGAAACTCCAAACTTCCTGTTTATTTATAGGTTTAATAAAGCCGTGGAAAGTCCGCGAAATGTACTTCGCGTCCTCGTTCCTCTCACAACCTCTCGAGTTTGGAAAATTATTAACCGGCATTTGTTTCCCTTCCTGGCACAGACCAAACCGTTCGACCGTGTCTTATTCCTTCCTGTCTCTTCATTAGCCAACTTCCGTATGTATGTGTGTATATATAAGCTTGCTCGGAAAGTTGAGACCGATTGGTAAATACAGTGTAATAGTATCGTCCTTGAATGACATGAACTTTTCAGATAACATAATAATACATTTTTTTTTCGGTTACCTAATACGTCTAATAACCTAGTAATAATCTAATAATAACCTAATAACGAATATTATATATGCTCCAATATTTATATTATTTAGAACAATAACAACAAAGATAATAAAAAAGAAAAAAAAGAATATCCAAAAGAGTAAGACTTATTGTTAATGAAAGTAAAGAATTCGTGGATCGTCGACAGCGGGTTTTTCGTACTTTTAAGAGTGTAGGAAAAAATCGATTCGCGTGTTCTTCGAGCCAGCTAGAAAGTCTAGTAACGTAGAGTCATTTTTCAGAGTTGGCTACTGTCTGGCCGAGTCGGGCGGCTGGTTAGTTGTTCCAGCAGATAAGTGTACTCAAGCGTGTAACTCTGAATTACGAGTGCCTCTTTTGCCCTTCTACGTTCTCCCTTGTCTCTCCGACTGTCTGTCTGTCTGTCTTTCTTTCTTTCTTTTTTCTATCTTTCTTTATCTCTTTCCGTTATTCATTTCCTGTTCTGTTATGGTTAAAGAAAAGAATATTTCCAGGAACATGCTGGAATATGCTTTAACAATAAAACAACCCGCGTATGATAGGACACTGAGAACAATTGATTTATGATTCGTGTCAAACATGGTAGTCGAACATGCACTTGCAAGATCCTCTGATGAGATATCAAAGATTTTTGATTTATAGTATAAAAAAATTCTTTTTTTGAGATAGCTGACTTTTGAATGTGGGTTTCTGTATTTATGTGTGTGACATATTTTAACAAACTAAGAGTTAATTTGCATATTTAATATTTTTTTTTCATTCGATACAAAACTTTGATTCTGTCTGGACTTCAATTAATTGCTATGACGACCCTTAAATTGTTCGTATAAAAGTGGGTTGAACATATTGGTGTAAACAGGAGAAGAATAAAAAAAGATGTAATATCACCTGGAGTATGAAATTCAACAGTAGAGTCGTCAACGATGACACGACCATCTCTGTCGACTCGTCGTAAGGCCACGTCGTGCCATGCACCATCGTCAACTCGATCCTTAGATGCTTTCACTTTTACAGATCCGCTTCCAAGATCGACATGGAGGTAAAGGTGCCCATCTAAAATCTCGAATGCGAACAGATCCTCCTAGAAGAGAAACAAACATTCACTTAATTATTTTTAATCATTTTTGTTCTAGGTTTTGTATTATTTCGTTATGTGTTCATACATTTTTGTTTACGCTATTTTTTTCACGTAATTTGCAATAGCCAAAAAATACACAATATATCTTCTAATCGTTTTATTTCTGTATTTTTTTTTTAATAATAAATAGAGTAAAATTATAGTTAATTTAAAAAGCTAAGAATAAAGAGCTCAAGGATGAGGAATGATCTCTCTAAAAAGCAAAATTATTAACATCTCACGGAGTAATGTCCTCTAGAGAATAATTCTTATGAAAAATAAATCACTTTAATATGTAGCAATAAAGTCAAGATTTACTGGCAGACTTTGTAAATGAGTGCTTACTGTTTCCGAAAGTAGGTTAAAGAAAAGATGCTAGTTTAAAGTTGTGACGGGTAAGTGGCCACTGCCATCACCTCTTCTTTTAAACTTTACCACACGTTCATAGAATCTCTAATAATCTTTACTCTACTGTATTCAATTATTACATTTATTTAAATATATTAAAGTCTTTTAAGTTAGGTCAACTGAAAGTTTCGTCCGATATAAATGGTTAAAAAAAAAAGGAAGTTCAAAGTGCAGATAAAAAAAAGTATAGCATAAAAATTTCAGTAAAACTCTGGGGTTTTTTTTTTCGTAACAAAATAACGAATTGGAAAAGATTTGGAAAAGTTGGAAAATTTTTTTAAAATTTACGTCATTCATAAGTCTTATGACGAAAATGAATTATCATTGCTATTATTATTACGGTTTAATTTAAGAATATTAAACCATAAAAAAATAACAGTTTTAGTTTTGTTTAAATCCAATTTTACAAATCACTGACAAGAATAAACAAATACAAATATAAGAACAGCAAATGTTTCAGCAAATTAGCTATTATGTCAGTCAATGAAGAAGTGAATAATTCCTGTTGTCTCAACTGATTTATAGTTTATACCGTACAATTCGTATTTTCGGTATCACATGTTTCTTGTCAAAATACTAGCAAACTTCGATTTGTGGTATAGTTTGAAAACGCATTTCCGTGGTCTATAATCTAAAGGTCAAGCCTAGAGGTAATTTAATAACCGATGCATAAATTTCAAGCTTTCCCAATACCTATGTGTCCTTTCCCTCTCGAACGATGAATTCGTTTACCCGTTTGTCCGACACCAACGCGAAATTTTATTGATGCTGGCTATAAAACTTTAGAGAATCGTTTATGAATCAGGACGAATTCGGTCGCTGCACTCATTCGCCACGACACACAATTTATCGATTTCACGCTATGCTTGTTTTATTATTTTTAGGTTTTCTAAAAATATATATATGTAAAAAAAAAAATACATATAACGTTTAAGAAATATTATTTAAAATCAAATATTATGTTAAAGGCGTTAAGAAAAGGGTCAAATATTTTAAGAAGGTTTCCAGTGCTCATCAAGGTATGTAGAAAAATTTTTAATTAACACGGATCTCAAAATCAATTCCTCTTTTGATGTTAATAATTAAATTAAAATAAAAAGAAAGTCCAAATGAGTCGATCTTTAATGAAGATATCATGGAATTCAAATTGTACGAATAAAATTGATCGAATCGATGGAATATGATGTAATTCGATAAAAATTTGTAATTTAAATGTCAATGAAATGAAGACAATGCTTCAATGTTCTAGAATTAAGGTAATATAAGCTATTACCTTTGTAATAAAAATAGGCTAACAAAATATTCGGAATTTATTCAAAATTTCTTTTAAATTACGCTAATAAAAAATGTTTAAAGATATAAAACAAGGTATATAAAAAAAAATACGTACCCTTGTGTGTGCTCCGCTACGACTATACATTATTAGTCCGTTCGGCTCGTTCGTACGAATTTTGAAGGATAGGCTCCCGGATTTGGAAGCTTTCCAGGGTGGAAGAACCTGAAACAAACGAGACGAATGGTTTTTACTGTGTCACTCTTGGCTACCTCAGCTATCATTGTCATTTTCGTAGTTGTTTCCATCGTTGTCCTGTTTTTACTTGTTGTTACTGTCTTCCTTTGCTGTTGTTGTTGCTGTTGTTGTTGTTGCTGTTGTTGATGCTTTAGCGTCGTTCGTATATTATGATATTACGAAGAAAGTTATACAACGAATGAAATAACGAAAGAACGAATTTTCGAGCAGACTATTCGCGAACATCGATTCTTGAGAAAGAAACTTGGAATAAGAGAAAGACGATAGGGATCATTTAATTTTGATGGTTTGTATAACCTAAATAATAAACATATAATTCGAATGTAAGAGACCTATCTATGTATAACAAGATGGTTGTATGAGAGAGAGCGAAAGTTGGAGAAAGAGAGAGAGAGAGAGAGAGAGAGAGAGAGGAGAAAGATGTTCAAAAAGATAGTATAAAGAAATCTTTCAATAATGTGAATCCAATACATCATCAAACATTTCGTCAAGTAATTAAAACTAATCTAAAAAATTTTCGAAGAATCTTATACATCTAATATATATAAATTACGTGTCACGTTGTTTGTCCGCAATGGATTCCTAAACTACTGAACCGATTTTAATCAAATTTTACACACTTGTGTGTAGTTTCATTCAACTTGAAAGATAGGATAGTTTATATCTCAATTTATAATTGCAATATTATTTTATTGCGAATTATTTGTTTATTAACAAAGAGTCATGATTATCTCTGTTAGAGATAACTATATTTACGTTACATTACATACATATTTACATTAGAAATGACTATAATTTAATATTAGTAGAAATCAACTCCCTTTGTAAAAGTTAAACAAAAGCTACAATTTTCGAGAACCCATTGTAACAAAAAATTTTACCATATAAGTAATAATGACGTATGTTCATACATTTATTTGTCTTTTTTTATACTTATAATTTTTTTTTATTCTTTTTTTTTTTTTTTTTATTTAGGGAATATGCACGTAGTAAATAACTTTTCGTTGGGGCTCGCAAAACTCGCGAGCGGTTTAATCACGGTTTCTTTAAAATGTATATATGTATATATGTAATATATGTATACCTAGGTACATATATAGTAAGTAGATACGTTGCTCGTTTAAAACGCACACTTAATATGCTCCCGTTTCATTTCTATCTTCAGTATATATCTCTCAAGCTCGCGTATATATACAGTATATCGTACTAGCGACTCTTTCAAAGAAATTTACCAGGTATACATGACACAGTACGAGTCTCGAATTCAAATTTATGTACCACGTCGTCGTAGTCGTCGTCGTTATCATCGTCCTCGTCCTAGCCGTCATCGTACTCAACGTCGTCTTGGATTTATTTTTACAAAATGGCTAACACATGTAAAATTCTGTTTCCATGTTTTAAGGTAGAGCTCATCGTTTACAGCTCACATCAGATCGAAAAAATTAGAAATTGAATTCTTCTTTACTATTATTCTATTATTATTATTTTTCTTTTATAATTAATTTAAATATTTCTAATATTTTCATTTAAAATCAAAATTTGCTTTTATTTTTAATTATAAATTAGCACACTAAGAGTCACGCTCTCAAAAATTCTAAGAAGTTTAAATTAAAAATTTGATTTTAATAATAAATTGGACATGAGTTATTATAGCTAAACGAATAAATCGACGAGTTTCCTAATCTTCATTTATCATAGTAACTAATATTGTTTACTTGCTTTTCGTATTGAAAATCTTGACGTTTATTTAATTAGGAATTTTTTCAATAAAATATGAAAACCCATCGAATCCGATTTAAGTCAGGCTTTAAGTTTGAACAAGACGTAGAAGTGAAAATGTTATTTCAATGAATCAGATACGAAGTAGTTCAATTAAAAAATTGACGAGTTTCGCGAGATTTTTATTTATTTACGGTGCTCACGTATTACTTCCTTCTGTAATAAAAAAAAGAAAAATAACGTTAAATTAAACTTAAAGTCACGTTTCAAATCTTAAAAATACGAGTGTTAAAATTGAAATTTCAATAAACTCGAATACGAACTAATTAAATAACAAAACTCACGTCTTTTTTTTTCTTCACATTGAAAATGTTCACATTTGTAAATGTTTTTAATCAAAAATAAAAATACGAGTATATGTCAAACCTAATTTTAACCAAGTTTTAAATTTTAACGTAAGTAAGGCGTATAAAAAATGTAATTTCAATAAATCAAAGATGAAGTATGATACATTTATTATAAGAAATTACCACGTATCGTAATTTTTCAAATTGACCTCGAACACATTTAACATCAACGTTATAGTAGCTGAAATATTCTCTGACTTGAGAAGTAAGTCGAAGAAAAAAGAAAGTGAAAAAAAAAAGAGAAGAATAAGAAATATAACGAAAGGTCGAAGGAAGATAAAGGAGTGAAACGAGATGGACCTACAACAAGGAGGTGCCCATTTTGTCTGATGGTGATTCATAGCCGTTAGGCTATGTGTTGCATTATTCAAGGGGAGGGTACCTGACCTGGTCAAACAACCATAGCCTGGCTTTAAATTTAGTCGTTCTACTTTCAAGTGTCAAGAGTCGTAATCCTCCCCACACACTTCCTCTCATTCTCTGTTTTTTGTTTGTTTTATCTATTTGTCTAGTTTTAGAAAAAGATTCCTTATACAAAGTTATCACCCTCTTGTTATCCTATTTGGAGAGAAAAAGAAAATCATTGGGCAGGATTCGAGAGGATAAGATCGAGATTGTTAGGAGAAAATTGTTTCGAAAGGTACTATCGGACTACGTGTTACACGTGTGTTATTTATAGTAAGAAGTAAAACTCGAAGAAACTTTAGAAAAATTCGAAATTCGAGAGAAGGAGAGAGAGAGAGAGAGAGAGAGAGAGAGAGAGAGAGAGAGAGAGAGAGAGAGTAGTTCTCTTCCTTATCGACTTTATTTCACTACGAAGCCTTTGGAGAAGAAATCTTTCGTGTTTCGCTTATTCAAGAATGAATACAGCCTCCCACGACGTAGCAATTCGAAGGAACAATGATTCGACTACCACTTTGAATACATATACGCTTACTTTTTCACACGCACGTAAACATACATACACACACGTACATGTACATATAAACCATACGTTGCGACGTATTCAGAAAATGTCAAAATGCATGAGGACTGAAAATTTCATTTCTTAGTATCTGTACTAGCGAAAAAAGAGGAGTAAGAGTAGAAGGAGATGAAGAAGAATAAGATAGAGAAGAAAAAAAAAATAAGAAAGATATTGCTTTTTCTCAATGTTCCCACCGAAAAATACTATGGGAAATAATACGTTAGATCTACAGACTCTCCTCTTTCGAATGAAATGTAAATCGGGAAGATGAGCGGTGAGAGAACACGATGGTACGTAAGAAAGTAAGAAGACAATCTCCTTTTCGATGTCATGTAAATAAGAGAGAAACGGGAAATAGAAAGAGAGTGAGTGAGATAAAAAGATAGATAGATAGATAGAAAGAAAGAAAGAAAGAAAGAAAGAAAGAAGACATTTTTTCTCTTTCTTTCTCTTTTTGTCGAGTACGTTGGTGGAAATCGAGTCTTGGCTGCGTTTGACATAAAATTGCTGTTCTTACAGGAGATTGGAAATGGAAGCAGGAAATACTGCATATTCCAATTCAGTTTCGTTAAACGTCCAATGGTATGACACGACCTCATAACAAAGTTTCTTTTCAAATAAATCTTTTTTCTTTTTTTCCAACGAAAAAGTAACTACCACTCCTATAAGTAACTACCACTAATATAAGTAAACGTATGTTTTTCTTTTTTTTTTATTTATTTCTCAAATGCATGAAAAAAGATATCGACAAGAGTGATCAGATTCGGTATTTAAAATGAAGTTCTCTCTCTCTCTCTCTCTCTCCTTCTCTCTATTTCACTTTTGTACATTATTTGACGACTTCTTCTTTTTAGTTTGGTTCGTTTGTTAAGGAAAATTGCTCTAAAGGTCTCTCAACGTTGCCGCGTAAGCTCAAGGAGGTCCTTGAAAGTGAGAATGAAAAAAGAGATGTTGAGAAGGAACAAGGGACTTGAAAGTAAGAAAGAGAAAGAAATAAAGAGAGTGAAAGAGAGAGAGAGAGAGAGAGAGAGAGAGAATGAGAGAGGGAGAGAGGGGGGGAAGAAAGTACTCGTCTTTCTTGCGAAATTCTTCGTCGAAGAGAAGAAATCGTAGAGAAAAGACTGCTCGGGTATGTCGAAGTGAGATGATGACAAGGACAAAAAAAGAGAAAAAACGGGACAGAACGAAAAAGAGAAAGAGAGTAAGAGAGTGAGTAGAGATTCTCGAAGCGTGAAACTGAAGAACAAGGTACTTTCAACCGTCGACGTTCTTTCGTTCGTTTAAGAAGCTTATTAACGCTTTCGAAACCCTCCATCGTTAATTGTACCACGCTCGAGAACACGATCGGATGGAATTTCGTCCTTTAAAGGAACCGTTCCTACGTCAAAGGATGGACGAACGATACAATCTCTTAGAAAATTTCACTTTTGGAAAATGTTCATTGAATGTTTCATCCTTTCGTTGAGCTTTATTATCTAAATTAACATATTTCGTTATCTTTTTTTTCTTATATTTATCTTACTTTTTGTTTAACCCACTTATCGCGTGATTATAAAAATGATTATATTCAACACATTTTTATTATATTATATACATTATGCTAATTGTCAAATAACAACGCGAGAAATAGCTGAATGGTCGAATTCAACAATTCACAATCCTTGAAAACATCTTGAATTCTGTGAATATGAAAAAATTCTCTTTTAAATATTTCTTATTGGGAAAACGAAATTACATTCCGGACAACCTAATAAAATTTTTCTATTAAATATTCTTTTTTTTTTTCAATTTATTGTAACAATAAGAAAAGGACAAAAGAAAGAAAGAAAATTCCAAATTGATGAGATATGATTTAGGAGAATTTTCGAGTCACT